GCAGTTGTCAACATACAGTATTCCAGTCATCTTGGGCTCTACCACAATTGGTTTATCTTGATTTTATTTCAAGTGACTATTTCTAAATGGGAATTGTAGGTATCGGGGATTAGAAGTTCCATAGAGTCTAAAGGCAGAAATGATAAAAGAGGCACCAATAATCTTCCTGAAGATACAGAAAATTGGATGTACTCAGTAAATTAGTTGTTTTCAGAAGGGAGAAAACTCTGCTCGCATGTACTCAATGAAATATATTGGGGGAATATTCCATTGTTTATTAGGATCAGTGTCATAGTTTATCTTTGCTGTATGGGTTAATTAAACAAACAGATCTAATGTCTTGGCATCAACCATAGAACAAAAGAGAAATTGTGAGTGATGTGTAAACATTTGTTTTCCTATAAATCCTTCCAGCTCCTCTTGTAATTCCTACTCACTCCAGCTATTTACTTTTTTAAGATTATCTACATTTCAAATACTCACTACTTAGAATATGTTTCTTCTTAAGCAAAAAGGCTTTCAGAGCCCTATCAGGATTAAAGAATATTTGATTAAAACTTACTAATAATTAAAATATGTCCCATACCAACACCATCTTAAACGTTCCCCTGTATTGTCATATTACCTTATCAGGGCCCATGTCAAATGGACAAAGTAATATTGATTCACCACTATCAAGTAAGGGCCATTATTTTCACAATGATCAACATTTCATGTTGTGTATTGTGGGCACATTTACACTAACGTGTCATGGCTACAGAGTCACACACAGTATCGTCCTTGATATAGCTCATCCCTGTGCTTTTGAAAACACAGCTTTTCTCCTGACCTTTGTCCTCAGTGTCCTCAGTGTGTTGTGTGATGGAAACATATAGATATATGTTATATCTCAGTTGTATGTATAAGTGGTTATATTTCTAACTATCACCATGTTCTCAGAAAAAAGTATTAAGTGAAAATAACCCTTTATGTCTAGGAAAATACCATGACTTTGTATCTATTAAGAGTATTACAAAATTTTAAAGTTCAGAGGCAAATAGAAAATGTAATTTCTGCATTTAAATAAAATTGCTAATTTGGCACTGAATTTAGCAGGACCAAAAATAAGACATAAACTTTTAGCATAGACATAATATTGGTTATATTGACATGCCTGAATAGAAAAAGAAATATTCTATGATTTTGGGAAACCCTAGCAAGTAAAACTGACATTAACTGTCTTCCATTCTAGGCAGTGTGGTGCTCTGCTGTCATGACAAGGCCATGAGTGGCTTGAGTGTTGTCTCTCATCACCGAGCACTGCAACTTCTGGTGTAACACATGTTTGCATTATCCTAAATGGTTTTGCATAAGCAATTTTTTCATCCATACCTGTGGCCAAATCCACTAGGAGGGTTTCATTTCCCCCAGACTAGTTCTCTGTGATCTTGGATGTAATCATGCTGCCTGTGGAGTTCTACAAACATGTTTTTCAGCTTTTTTTTAACTTTGAATCCAGGGCTGAAGGTAGAGCCTACGGGAAGAAAGTGTCCCAAAATTCCACTGGGAGTGACAAGTCAGATCAGAAAGAAATTAAATGAGTTGAGTAATGACTTCAGTCATCAATAAAATTATACACAAACACAATATATATGCATATCTATATAAATAATCAACCTCCACAAGCCTCGTGGCTTCACAGGGCTGTTAATATGTTGTCTTGGATTTTTATCTCCTACCTCCTGAGGATTCCCTTTCTTGTGTCCTCACAAGGCAGCTGTGAGTGCTTAGTCAGAAATGATTACCGTTTGCACCATGAAGGAAAGGTGATGATTGCTGGTTTTTTCCCTGCTTATGCCATCTACCCACTCAACAAAACAGCTGATTGGAGTATGCAAAAATTTGTCAGAGATTTTATGGTCCAGTAAGTTGCACTCTCCATTTATTCCTTTTCCAAATTAGCATTGATATATTTGGTGGGAATATGGGTTCAAACATCATTATTCCCTCTTTAACTCATTCTGGTTTTCCTTTTTCATTCCTAGATCTCTTCTGCAATATAGTCTTACTAAATTACAGAATATAATTAGTGATTTGCTTACTTATTAGTTACTTGCTTACTTACTTACCTGAGGTTCATTCATTTTATTTTCCACATTTGATACTGGGAATTTGCCCATCCTTTCTGCTATGCCTGTAACTCCTTGGGATCTTTGTGCTTTCAATTTCAGATCTGCAGGAGAATGATTACACAATAAGACTGATGAAGTATTTGAGTAAATTCTAGAAGTAAGCTGTGTTTCTATGAGGAAGAATGATGCACTGAAACTAGTGACCAGGAATTTTCCTATGTGAGCTGGAAATGGCATGTGCTGTCTGTATTAGCTAATGTGGATTTGGGAGCATAAACGTTGGCTTTACAAATTTGGACCTAATCTCTGCTCTACCAAGTACTCACTTGTCTAGTGTTTTTGTATGTGTTTGTTTTCTAGCACTTTTATTCTCAGTTCATTTAACCACATTTACATGCTTGTTTCATGGTTCCAGCATGCATTTTCACATTTCTCATAAATGTGGTCATCTGTACACATTGATTGTCATGGTAGACTCTAAGGGATGTTTCTGGACATTCTCAAGTCTGCAAGATTAAGGAATAATTTTCTTTGATTATGATAAAGGAAATTAATCATGTATGCTAGTTTATAAACTCAGTCAGGTGTCTTTTAAACTGTGCAAATATTCACATGGCTGTAGGAACCAATGTAATAAGAATCAGAAGATACAGCCCATCCTCAGTTATGAACACAACAAGGGAAAAAGGAAATATATGTTAATGGCTCAAGTTGGAGACAAGGGATGGGAAATTAATAAAAAGAAACATAGGAGTGATGATGAATTATTATGTAGGTGGCATTACTGTGTCTTTGCTGATACTTCTTTATGGGAAAGTCATCAGTTCAGAGACTGTGGATGAGGGGAAATGGCCAGGTGTGTAATGCCATTCAATATTAAGGATGTATTAAGACAGCTGACCTTAAATTGACATATCCAATATGAGCATATAAATCCAAAATTTAACATCTAGTTAGAATGTATCCTAAGAGAATTGATTGGCCCGAGGGATCATGTTTTACTTCAAGTAAGATTACAAAGTCATCTCCTGTGTTCTAGCAGATGTTTGCACCTTGCATACCGGAAGTAGACTGTTCCACCGGGTGATGTCCCTGCTACTCCCCCTTTCCTATGCTCTCCCATATTCACAAGTCAAGCACTAGTGTACATCAGCCTGAGTCTCACTCCAGATTGTGGAAACCTATGCCTACAAAGGACACACTTGTAATTGCATGAGATTTCAGTGTCCACCTGGGCTAATATGTATAAGCAGATAACAATCTTTTAGGACAATCTAACATGTTATAAAGTAAGAAATGAAAGGTAATACATTTATGACAAGGAAAAGCTTTGTTTTGTTTATAAAAGATTAAATTAATGTAACTGATCAATGGAACATATTTTCATAGAAATGGGGCACATAAAGGCATATATTCTTTATGACTCAAAAACTATTCTCATTCTTTTGATTAAATCTTTACATAGGTGTGAGGTGAATTTTGAAAAGATTTTTCTTTCACTTTCCAGTTAAATATCCTCAAATTCTAGTTGTTCGACTATATTTATTTTCATTACCACAACTACAAAATATCATAATCTGTGGGTCAACATTGTCTTCAATTACATTTTTTTCTGTGATCCAGTTTTCTAAGTGGATTTTACTTTGGTATCGTCATAAGTAGAAGGATGGTAAATTCAAATTTGGTGGGTTCAAAATATAAAAAATACCTTATCAATTGTCAGATTACAACAAGTTAATTTACCAAAGCACATGGCTTGGTTCATGCTTATGCACATGTTAAAGTCTTTTATTCAGGGTAGCTAACATTCATCTACAAAAATAATTACTGATAATTCTCTTGCCTGTGTATGGGAATACTTTACTTCAAAGCTTATGCAAAAGTATGGCTGACTCTATATACGTAAAATTTTGTTTTGCATCAATTATATTGCATTTATATGTTAATAACATGAGCACAATTCATGTATTAGAAGAATATATTCATTGGTAACTTAGATTTTAATATTTTTCTTTTTACTGTATATATTTTCTTTTTATGCATATTTTACAATAAAGGTCTTAGATACATGGTCACAGTTGTTTGAAGATATCTTATGATGTTTACTTTAAACACTGACATTTTGTATTAAGCATGTAAAATAATATTAAATTTCACTTGTACAAAAGTCAGTCAACCTTTTTTCTTAGTCTTCTTTCTTATCATGCGGTCAAACCAACAATTATAGAAAAAGTCATATCAATTATATTATAACATGCAACTTTAGTAATAATTTGGACTCACAGGATTTAATTGCTCATGAAAATCATGAGTTTAAATAAATGTCAAATTATATAGTGCTTTATCTTCATTAATTTTAGTTAGGAACCAGAGTAGTTTATTATGCATTTTCTGCTTTTGAGTGACAAGAATACAGAATAGGCAACATTTGGAAATACACACAGGATGTATCTAAGTCCCCTATCCTTTCCTACTACCAAATTTGTTTATTCTGGTACCATTTTCACCCTACCTAAAATATTATTCATAATTACTTCTCAAAATTATACTTTTCAGAAAAAGCACTTTCTTCCAGTTTTATTCACATTGCCAGATTTCACAGTAATGCTTCTATGTGTTCATAAAAATAGAGCCAACATTAGAATATATTAAACATTATTATATCTGTATCTATTTTTGTATAAAGGATGATAATCATATGTACAAATGTGCAATTATGAAATTACAGTATGTAATAGTCTTCCTCATTTTAAATTTCCAATGACATATTGATTGTACATTTTATAGTGTACCATGTTATCAAAAACAGGTATCTTGACTGCGCGT